GACGACGATTACGAATTTTCGTGTGAACTCAAAGCTCATATATTATCTATGTTGCTATTTATTAAACATTTGCCTTTACTCGTTTTTTTTTATATATGAAAAATACATAACAAAACTGTTCTTTTTTCTTTTGCTTGTTAAAGCTTCGTTTTCTTCCTTTCTATCTCTCTCTCTCTACATATATAAATAAGTGTGTTTATGTTTCCTTTTTTTTATGACAAGTAGTATGTGCGCCTCTTTTCTTTGTCTTGTTGTTGTTGTTGTTATTGGTCCTAATGTGATAACATGTTTTTTCTTTGTGTGTTTGTGTGTATGTGCGCGATGCACTACCTTCTTTATTTCTGTTTACCAAGAAGATGCAGTAAGCTTCTCTTGTTGTATATGACATTGATTTGAAAAAAAAACACGAATATCTTTGGGCAAATTTATTATTAGCCGTATCAAAATAGTATTTTCTATCGATGATAAAAAATAAATACATTTTCAAGCCCATATTTCTTCTGTCTTGTTTGTGTACTTTATATTTGTTTTTTTTCTTTGGCCGAGTGATATATTTGTGAGCGTGTTCTTTCATCGTATGTATGTCCTTTTCTTTTCTTCTTTTTGTTTTTGTTTCTTCTCTATCAAAAAGGTTTTAAAAGAGAAAATTAAGAGGATGAGTTGAGAAAAATTTTGTAGTTTATTAATCGAAAAAAAAAAATATATATAGAACAAATCAGACATCAGGAGCGAAAGACACGCTATGGCGAGCTTCCAAATGTGTGTATTTTTGGACCATCATTATTAATCTATCTGTGTGTGTGTGTTTGTTTGTTTATTGGCTTATTTGTTTTTCTTTAACTAAGAATGTACTTTTGTTTCCTTACTTTATGGCGCGTCAGTGTGTGTGTGTGTGTGCTGTTCTATGCGCGCTCCTGTATATTTCGCATTTTCAACAGGCTTATCCTTTTTTCATGTTCATCGTTACGATCGCTTTGATTGTTATTGCTATTGATTTTTTTTTCCTTTCTATGTATCTTTTCGTTCTTTCTTTGTGTCTCTGATTGGCTGAATTTATTATGTTTCGCTCTCTTTCTCTCGTCCCATTTACACACTTTTCTTAAACTCTATTTTGAACAACATATGCATATAAAAACAAAGCAAAAATAAACAAACAGACAAGCTAAAAAAAAAGAAAACTTTAATTTATGTAGGAAATAGACGATTACCAAGAAAGTTCAAGAAGAGCAGTAGCAGCACATGCTGGATCAGCACGAATACTGAAAGAATTTTTAATTGCTTGTTCAGTACGTGAGACACGACCTTGAAAAATCATACCATGTCCATCGAGATAAACATTGATTGATTGGTCTAGATCAAGCAGAGCATCGGAGAGACGTAGAGTTAGTTGTTGAATACCTTCAAAAGTACAAATAGTAATAGTTTGTTCATTTACTTCGGCTGTAATTTTTTGACCTTGCTTTGGTTCGATAGTATCAGGCAAAGAAATCCAATAAAAATGATGATGAGTAACATCATCTTGAACCCAAACAACTTTCTTTGGCCATGGATTACGAGTCCATTGTGACATCCATGTAAGTGCTTCAGCGTCTTTACCACACATCCAATGACCCATATTACTACATATATTCACATAATGATGGTATGCGTCAGGATCCGACTTTTGTAAAGTATCAAGTTGTTCAGACCATTGTTGTGCCATTTTATTTCGATTATAGCTACTGTCATTTTCACCAACAAATATAGCAAAAGGTAAATTACGTAAACCATAAGGTAAAGCATCATTCGGATGTCCGGCCATCATAGCAGCAGCTGCAAAACGATCTGCCATACGTGGAGCAAGTTGATAAACACCATCACCACCTGCAGAATAACCTAAGATATAGACACGATTAGGATTAATTTCCTTAACCATAATATAATTTTCGATAATTCGATCGAATAATACATCAATATGTTCTTGATGCCATTGATTCCAACTATCAGTAGGACTTCGAGGTACTACCCAAATACCTTCATTTGGATTATACAGATTAATTTGATTACGAAACTGTTCATCATTAACAGGAGCAGGACAAGAACCACCGCCGTGCATTGATATCCATAAACTATAACCAGTTGGTGGTCTCGTTTGACTATAGATGCATTCATTCCAATGTATTGTTTGATTATTGAGAGTCAAACACGTTTCATCTAATTCAGATTGTCTTGTAGAGAGCTGTTCTTCTTGTAATTGTGTCCAGATCTTGTCTATGATAACTGAAGCTTGTTGTTTACTTAACGTTGTGAAATTATCATCAGAGTTAGATACGAAACTACTGTCGCCAGAATCTTCCTGCAAAATAATTTTTCTAGTTTCAAAGTTTTATCAATTTGTTGAATATATTTACTGAAGAGTCTTGTTCGATCTTTGTATTAACGGGTGGGTAGACAACAATTTGAATATTACCAATTTTCGATTTAATCGATAACGTTGCTTCTTCAATATTATCTATCTCCGGGAATCGTGTATTCAATTTTTGAATGTCAGTGAGAGCATCTATAAAGAAATTAAGTATGAACTTATATATCGACAATGTAATGTATTGACTTACGTGTATGATCACCTTTGAGATGGCCACATGTACGACAATAATAATTATCAATTAATTGCTCATCAGTTAGTTCTTCGATATATAAATTACAGATCGTGTCACGCGCATTCCAAATAGTTGCGTTAAGCATTATTATATCTGAAAATGAAACATGTAAAACAATTCTTAGTTTTAATAATGCCTTTAAAAAAAATGCTTTCTACTGATTTCAAATGTACTACAGAATCATTTTTTCGTCTCTCATTAGAAGCTTTGATTTATAGCTGTAATTATATTTCTATTTACTTGCATTTTACTATTAATCATTAATGTTGTTTTCGAAAAAATCTTATTTCTCTATTCAATAATGTCAGTATACCTCCTATATTGTGACAGCTGCTCTATTGATATTTTATTTAGGTTGCTTGAATTAAAACAATATTGTTTGCATTAGAAATATGAATAATAAAGAAGAAAATTTCCATTCACAACAAAAAACCTCACGAGAAGTTAATCGAGGTATTTTAATGCATATTCATCTATTTCGATCCAGTCATAAAAATACATTTCATTTTTTCTAACGAAATAATTCATACGACAACTTAATTAGATGCCTACATTTTGTCGTTAATGATACATCTAGGGAAATAGAAAAAAAATCATGATTTTCATGTGAGAAACAAACCATGTCTGATGATGAAACGAATATTATTTTTTTAGTCCCTAAAAATTGACCCATTTTCAATAAATAATCAAGCAAAAATATGCACATTTAAGTCGTAAGAAAAACAACATCGTACAAAACATTGAATGTCCAATGGCAGAACAGTTTGTTCTTTTTCCTACCTGTAAAATGATCTTTTACTGTAAGAAAGATTATTTATTGGGGTATTGAAAAAGAAAAGAATGCGATTAATAAATATTAAAAATACTCATATATTTCTCTTCTAGTATTTTTCAACATTATTAAAATAAAGGAATTCTTCGAAATATGAGCTCAATCAAACCATCGAATGTGTAGTATCTGCTTGTTTTAAATTCAATCGATAAAATCATATCTGTTTTTATACAAATGAATTATTTTTAATAGAAAATTAAGCAAATTAACTTCGACTACTAGATCAAACAATCTGAAATCTTTTGAACGTATTTCATTTACATGAACTAGGAGCGCGTTACGCCCCACCCCCCCCTCGGTACGCCCCTGATATTAACTGTATGTTTTCTAAATAAATCAATAAATATATGAGACGATTCCATACATAATTAAGCTATCATTTTGTACATTACTGTCGATAGCTTATTAATAGCATTTTGTTTACAGCAGAAAGCAATGATTACTTTCGATGAATGATAACAACACTTCATAGACTAAGCATCTTCATTTTTACGAAACTATTATCCATGCATTGTATTCATAAGATCATTATTTGGCTATATTTTAGAACTAATAACAACAAATCTATTGATCTACATTCAGTAAACAATCTTTGCAACGCTATTTTCATAAATTTTTCGATGGCAAATATCGATATGATTTTATCAGATGGGAAACAAAAAGTTGAGTTGGAAAGTTTTTTTTATTTTATTTGAAGGTGATCGATAGTATTTATATTAAGATAAATATTGAAAATATCTTATGTAATTTCAAACTATTTTCTCTTTCTTCTTGAATGGATCTTGTTTGTTTTTGTTCGGCTTATGTTTTACATTGACGATATATTGTCAGACAATCAGGACGAATGATGGATGCTATATACTGAAAGAAAAAAAAAATCTATCTATCTATATGTGGTATATACATAAATGTACATAAAACAACAAGGTATATTATTGGTTAATTATTCTTTTTAAACAACGTCAAATAAATATCAACTTAATTTAAGAAAAAGACTAAGATAATTTTTTAAACTTATCATTTTAATTACATATAACGATATGATTATATGTGGCACCACAATCAACATTTATTGACATTGATTGTAGTACCAGGACAATTTTGTATCCTTATATGGAACCGGATGTATGGTAGACAAACAAAAAAATCTTTGATGATATTTGCTTCTGCGACCTTGTATGACCCTTTAATATGATTTGTTTTTTTTAAAGAATTCTTGATCTCCTCAAGCTAATTTTCTTGTTGTTACATTTTTTTCATTTAGATATTTGTTCTAAACTCTTCATTAGCTATTATGTTCTTCCAGTACAGCAAAGAAAAAAGGAATGTTCTATAATTTGTCAGTCAGTAAGTTTCTCTTTTTTTTCTTCTTCTTCTTCTTCTTCTTCTTTTCTTTTTTGATGTTCTGCTCAATTAACTTTCTAAATCGATACTTTCATTTTCTTCTTCTTCTCTTAATAGTCTCGTTTGATTATCATTCCAAATTTCTATACCGAAACATTTTGTCAATAAAATCTTGATAAGATAAAATGTTTAGTCCATTACAATATTCATATACGGCGGATGACGAGTACGATGCACGTAAGTTCGCAACAAAAAAAGCCCTCTTAAAAATATAATGATTTAATTTAATTATATTCTAGTCCCACCGTTACCGCCGCAAATGAAAGCACCTCCCAAAAAGGCTGTAAGGAAGTTTTGTTTTCTCCTTATTTACCTATTATTTGTTTTTTTTCAAGGCACATCTACTTGATATCCCAACTGGTAACAATGCATGGAGTGCTGTTTTACAACAAGCTGAAATTCGAAGACGTAAACGACGACAAACAACACCTGAACATCCTAGTCGTGCATTATTTTGTTTATCACTTGATAATAAATTACGTCGTACATGTATTAAATTAGTTGAATGGAAGTATGTAAATCAGATTAGTTCGATTTTAAATAACTATTTATATCTATTTATTCTAGACCTTTTGAATATTTGGTGCTTTTTACTATCTTTTGTAATTGTGCCGCATTAGCTCTTAGTACACCATTACCACATAATGATACAACACCAACAAATTCTGTACTAGTAAGTAATAAAATTATAGATGTAGAAGATTTTTGATAAATCTATTGAGGCAAAAACAAAAAAAAGGAGAATTTGATTACAAATTATCGCTCCCATGAGATATCGTTTGTTTTTTTGTATATATCATAGTTCAATTCAACGGAATCTTTGATAAGCTTTACCTCCGAAGAGAGATATAAAATAATTTCATTTTAGGAACAAATCGAGTATATATTTTTGGCAATATTTACACTTGAAGTTGTTCTAAAAATTATTGCATATGGTTTATGTCTTCATCCAAATGCATATCTAAGAAGTGGATGGAATTTACTCGATTTTATTATTGTTGTTGTTGGGTATGAAATAATCTTTTTTTTGTTCTTGTTAAAAATTTAACTAAAACAATGAAAACTTTTGTTAGATTTCTGAGTGTAATATTAATTCGATATAATGTCCAAGGCTTTGATGTCAAATCTTTACGAGCATTTCGTGTTATTCGTCCATTGAAACTTGTCAATGGTGTACCGAGTAAATAAAAATAAATCAGTTGTCATTATTACTTTTTTCCCTTACCTGCTTATATGTATGGTGATTTATTGTTGTATTTTTAAAAAAAAGAAGTTGGTTGCATGCATTTGTTTGTTATATATAATTTGGTAAGAAGAAATCTTCTCATTTGCATGTTATTGAAATTAGTTTAAATAGAATTAATAATACGAAAATGTTTTTCTTTTTCAAGGTCTACAAATTGTATTAAATTCAATTTTACGAGCTATGTTACCTCTATTACATATTGCTCTATTAGTACTTTTTGTTATTACAATTTATGCTATTATTGGTTTGGAATTATTTTGTGGAAAAATGCATAGTACTTGTTATATTAATGGAACAAGTATGAAAAACGAAAATGTTTTTTCATGTGAATGAAAATATATTTTTTAGGTAAAATGCCGCAAGTTGACGAAATTCGACCATGTGGTGAAAAAGGTCGACATTGTCCTCCAGGAGAAGAATGTAAAGATATAGGATGGGAAGGTCCATGGCATGGATTTATAAACTTTGATAATTTTGGTTTGGCTATGTTAACTGTATTTCAATGTATAACAATGGAAGGATGGACATCGATTTTATATAAAGTATGTGTATCTCATTTCAAATTCCAAAACTTTTGTTCTTCGATGAACTCTAGTCAATAGAATTATGTATACGGAATATATCGGAAGCTATTGAATATATAAGAACTATTTAACTTGATTCTTTCTCTCTTGTTGGAATATAGATGAATGTTTTCATACGTTAATATCCGGAAATCATTTCTATACATATATGAATATCTTGACATTCTATAATGGATACTCTGATCGAGCATATTTATTAAGAGGATATCTCCATTGTTGATTATATTTGGTTAAATATTGATTATTTAGATGAATGATGCTATTGGACGTGAATGGGCCTGGATTTATTTTGTTTCACTGATAATAATTGGTTCTTTTTTTGTTATGAATCTTGTCTTAGGTGTTCTAAGCGGGTAAATTTTAATGGCATCAACAAAAAAATAATAATAATAATTTTTTTTTCTGAATAGTGAATTTTCTAAAGAAAGAGAAAAAGCTAAACAAAGAGGTGATTTTCAAAAATTAAGAGAAATTCAAATAATTGATGAATCATTTCGAAATTATATGGCATGGATTCGTAAAGCTGGTAAATTAATAAATATACATCTATAAAAAAATAAACTAATTTTTATTAAGAAATCGGAAATGATACAAATGATGGTACAGAAAATGATGGTTAGTTATAAATATTACTTTGACTTGTTTTTTTATTTGAATATGTTTTCTTAATTTAGTTACTCTTGATGCATCAGGAGATCCAGTAAAAAAAGAAGGAACATTAGAAACACATTGTGGATGGTTGTATGATAAATTGTATGTATTATATTAATAATAAAAGTTATATATATTATACTTGTAATTTAGACGATATATTCGAGTTTTTCATGCATACAGTCGACGTCGAATTCATACAATGGTTAAATCACAAACATTTTATTGGATTGTTATTGCACTTGTATTAATGAATACAGCTGTGCTAGCAAGTGAATATTATGGACAACCACAATGGTTAACAGATACTCAAGGTATGAATATAAAAGAATGACTTTACCAGACAAAAAAAGTTGTAGGGGAGGTTTTGAGTAGAGGTAAACCATTCATAGGGAGGTTGAGCCCACCGTCTAGTCAGTGGCGGATTTAGGGGGGCGGCGTGATCGCCCCCCTTCCGAATTTTTTTTGATTTCTTACAGCAAAAATAGGCTCACACTACTTCGATTGGACTCAAAAAATAGCTTTTAGCTAAAATCCTAGATCCGCCGCTGCGTCTGGTTATGCATTTATACAATTTTGCTTCAATTATTTTTAGAAATAGCTAATCGAATATTCGTCATATTATTTTCATTTGAAATGTTGCTTAAAATGTATTCACTTGGCATAACTGGTTATTTCGTATCAAATTTTAATCGTTTTGATTGTTTTGTTGTTATTGCATCAATTATTGAATTTGTACTTATATTTAAAGATCTTATGCCACCGTTAGGTATATCTGTGCTTCGTTGTGTTCGTCTTTTACGTGTATTTAAAGTAACACGTTATTGGACAGCATTAAGAAATTTAGTTGCATCATTACTTAATTCAATGAAATCAATTGCATCTTTACTTTTACTATTATTTTTGTTTATTGTCATATTTGCTTTATTGGGTATGCAAATGTTTGGAGGAAAATTTGATGAAATATTTGAAGTTGAAGAGAAACCACGAAATAATTTTGATTCATTTTGGGGTGCACTTATTACTGTATTTCAAGTGAGAAAACGATACAAAAACAAAATTTTGTTTTAATTCCAATATTTTCTTTTATAGATTTTAACTGGTGAAGATTGGAATGAAGTTTTATATACTGGTATACGAGCACTTGGCGGTCTTGGACTTGTTGGTACAGTTGTTTGTGTTTATTTTATTGTTTTATTTATTTGTGGTAATTATATATTATTGAATGTCTTTTTGGCTAGTAAGTTATTTGAAAAGAAACATGAATTAAAAGCCAAAACATTATTCTCATTTTCTAGTCGCCGTTGATAATTTGGCTGATGCTGAAAATTTAACTGCAGCTGAAGAAGAAGAACAAAAGAAACGTGAAGAAGCTAAATTAGGTGCAGAAGTAAAACCCAATGGAGATGTACAAGGAACAGATCCGTAAGTTTTTATTCGAAATTTTATTATTTATTTATAATTCATTTTATTATCAGAGCAAATACTGAAGCGATTGAAACAGGTAAAGAATTATTTTAATTGCTTAACCCTTTGAGTCCCGGTGGGACATATATGTCCCACCTATCGAAAAATTCTAGTTTTCGAAAAATTTCGAATATATTTAACAAATGTTCGTAGTTAAGACATATTTGTGCGAGATTAAAAATCCTACTGAGTCAGTTTTAAGGCTCCCGTTCGTACACCTCCAAGGAAATGGCTAAAATATTTCTCATCATTCCCGTATGGGGGTACGGCTAAAAGTGAAGAATGACTTAAAATATTTTTTTGAAGTATCAATGGAATTGTCGATAATACTCCATGCTCATACAAAATATCAAGTTTTTAAGAGGTTTCGTCCATAGATTAAATTGTGGGACTCAAAGGGTTAATGTGTATGATATTTGATTTTCTTATGTAGATGAAAAATCACGTGGTGAAACAGATGAAAATCCATTAGATGAAAATGAAGATCATCCAATAGAACGTGGTGATAATGAAGACAATGCTGGTCTTAATGGAGATCAAGTTGTTGAAACAGAAGATGAAGAAAGAACTACAGCAAGGTTTGAGTTGAAAACATTTTAATCATCTATAAGCGCACTGATAGAATTTATTTCGAAAAAATGCTCTATATCTTTATGAGTGAATTCTAATGTTTATATAATGAATGCATTAATAGTTGTTAATAGCTCTGAACAATACATGTGAATTTAATTATAAATATAATTCCCTTGAGAAATATTTTGTTATGAAAAAAAGCAAAATGCATAAAATCATGAATATTAAACATAAAGTTAATTAAAAGTAAACATGTAATCATATAAACCAATGAATAATGATCTAACCAATTAATAATCAGTTTTTTGAGTAAGGAAAATGAATAGACATATTCAAGGTTAATTGTAATTTCAGTTTGAAATCAAAACATTCAAATCTTTAAAGCGATAATAACTTATTCTATGCTGATCTAACGAGGAAACCATCCAGGGTGTCACAAACCTTTTGAGCTTAAATTTTGTCCATAGGTACAAAGTACATAGACTAGAAAAAGCCTAGGAGAATATGAGCGCAAACTGAGATATCAAGTTTTTACTAGAATTTTTCTATCGGATCACGTTTTTCTTAAAAAGTCAGAGTTTTTGGGTTAAGCATTCTCGAAACATAATGTTTTTGGAATATCCGTAAACAAATGTGTTTATGCTAACAGACTCATATCTTGAGAATGTTCAATTCAAAAATTCTGAAACCTTGTGAATAAGCTACTTTGATTGAAGTCTTGATATGGGCAAAATTTAAGCTCTTTGATACCGCGAATGGTTCCCTTCATTGAATAGAATAGCTAGAAAAGCACACATGATGATATAAACATAAATTTTATTTTATTTTAGACCTCGTCGTTTATCTGAACTGAACATTGTTGAAAAAGTTAAACCAATTCCACCTTATTCATCATTATTTGTATTTTCACATACAAACAAGTAAAAACTTGAATTTAGCTTAAATAATTTTTCTACTATTAAAATCAAAAAAAACTATATTTAGATTTCGTATATTTTGTCATCGTGTTTGTAATCATCGTTCATTTGGATATATTGTACTTGTTTGTATATTACTTTCAAGTATATCACTTGGTGCAGAAGATCCTGTTGATCCAGATTCAGTTCGAAATAGAGTATGAATGTATTTCATAATTTATTCTATATAATTATGTTTTCTTTTTACTTTCATAGATTCTTAATAAAGCCGATTACTTTTTCACAGCTATTTTCACAATCGAAATTTGTTTAAAAGTAAAATGCCACTATTTTTTTTGAAAAATGAAGTTTACTATAATTATTAATATTTATAGGTTGTCTCATATGGTTTAATATTTCATCCAGGTGCCTTCTGCCGAAATCGTTTCAATATTCTTGATATTGTTGTTGTATCTGTTTCGTTAATATCTATGGTTATAAAAGATCGTGCAATATCCGTAGTAAAAATTCTTCGAGTACTTCGTGTACTTCGTCCATTACGTGCTATTAATCGAGCCAAAGGCCTTAAAGTATGATTCGATCTTTCTTTATAAAAAATTTCCAAAATTTTTCTTTCATTTTACAGCATGTTGTACAATGTGTTGTTGTAGCCATAAAAACTATTGGTAATATAATGTTAGTTACTTTCCTACTACAGTTTATGTTTGCTTGTATGGGTGTACAATTATTTAAAGTAAATTTTTTGAAGATTTTATTTGATAATAGTTATTTTATTCTTAAAATTAGGGAACATTTTATTCATGTAACGATAAATCCATGCTAAGCGAAGATCAGTGCAAGTATGAAATCAATGATTTGATATTTTCTGTTGATTTTTATTTTATTAAAATTTTGCTAGAGGATATTATTTAATAACAACTGAAAATCATATTTCAAAAGAAGCTCGATCTTGGACGAATTCAAAATTTCATTTTGATAATGTTCCACAAGCTCTATTAACATTATTTACAGTAGCAACATTTGAAGGATGGCCAAAGTAACATCAAACAAAACTTTATATATAATATCTATGCGCGTATTTTTTAGTTTATTACATACAGCAATTGATTCGAAAGCTGAAGGTCATGGTCCAGTTTATAATTATCGACCATTTGTTGCTCCATTTTTTATTACATTTATTATCGTAAGAAAAATTTTTGTGTAAAAAAATGATGATTTTCTAAAAAAACCCATTTTAAGGTAATTGCATTTTTTATGGTAAATATATTCGTGGGTTTCGTCATCGTTACATTTCAAAATGAGGGAGAACAAGAATATAAAAATTGTGAATTGGATAAAAATCAAGTAAATATTTTTATATTAATTAAATCTTATAATATATAT